TTCACATTTTTAAAAATTATGTTGAGGAAAGAAAATATGACTTGCATTTGCCGTGCCAGTGATGGTATTCTGGTTTGAGGAAGAGCTGGGCTAACGTTTAAAGATGAAAATGATAGCTTGTCTGGCGCCCTGAGTACAGCTTCTTTGCCCCTGTTTAAAGTTGTTAGGTGACATATTTCAAGTATAATTAGTTCCCATCATTACCTCACCATCAAGGGTAAGAATTATCCAAGTGCTTGTTGCCAGATCAGCACAGCCTATAGAGATGTGCTCCCAGCTTGTTTGTTTGAATGGTTGCTGTGGCGTGTGTTTCAGGGTCCCTGCTTGTATACACACATATATATGTGAGTAAGTGATAAATAAGGGGATTTTATCCTTTCACCAAATTTAGGAAATTGTCATTTTACTAATTTGCTTTTTTAGTGTAATGGCCCTTGTCATCACCTCACGTTCCTTTAGGTTCCTTATTCCAAAGGCATGGATTTTTTTGTAGCCATGGTCCGCCTACAACCCCGAAGTCTCTTGTTTTTCAGAATCTGGATTTTAGGGGTCAACATTTTGAAGAAAGATTTAGGTTAGATGATTCCTAAGACTCAAAGCATTTTTAAATTCATATCTCATTTAGAGATACATGAATGATCTTTTCCCTCTTACTGTGGAGGAGAAAATTCACAGACCATATAAGCCAGATGTTCTAGGGCTCTCCAGAGATGTGGAACCAGGCAGATGGATGTGCAGATGATGTAGAACAGGCTTAGCTAGGAAGCTGGCCTCTGACTAGGAAGTCGAGAATCCTGTGATCTGCAGTTGGCAGAGGGGAGACCCAGGAGAGGCCATGGGACAGTTCTGGCTCTCACTTAAGGCTTAGGATCGTGCTGGAGCTTGAGACCCAGGTACAGATGCTGCTGTGGCCGACTCCCAGGGTGAGCCAAGTGGATGTCCCAGCTCCAATGTGGGAGCTCACCTGGGGATCTGCTTCTTGTCTGTTCAGACCTTCAACTAGTTGGGTGGTGCACACCCACACAGTAGAGGACAGTCCCTTCTGCGCGTCTACTCACTTGTATGTTAGACTCATCCAGGACAGATTTAGATTCTCCCACCAGTGAACAGTGGTTTGGTAATTTCACTCTGAATGATACTATTTCATACAAAGTTGTTGTTTTTTAACTTTCTGGAGGTATTAGGTATTTTTAGATCTTCTTTGTTGCTTAAATGCGTCCCAGCTCTTTTTTCTATATTTTCCCATTATTTCTTTATCTTTTTCTGGCAGAACCATTTACACTTTCCCAGCTCACTGGGCTTCATTCTATGGCATTACCTTCGCGTGCTGCCCAGCTACGTGTTGCAGGGTGGTAAGCTTGTAAGGAAGCCGGGTAGTGAAATTGTGTAAATATCGCTCCGACTTTCCTGCGGCAGGCCTTGACTCTTGATCTGCGGGCCCGTGGGCAGATGGGGCCAACACCGTGTCACAGGATTGTGCTGTCCAGGAGGCCCAAGCTCTCACTCAGCCCCTCCTGCTCGCCTTGTCCCTGCCAGGATACAGCCTTCTTTCACCTTCCCCAGAGGAAACACAATTCCTGAAATCCTGTGCATCAGTGTAGCATATGTGCAGTAAGCCAGGGGGCAGATTTGAACACACCCAAGGATTTGTGGGCTCTGTTTTCTGCATCTGCTTGGTCAGTGTCTCCAGTGGTTTTGATGATGACCCTGGAGGAGAAGGGAAGCAGGGCCTGTGGGATGGCAGGAACATGGTCAGCGAAGGTCCTTCCCCTTCATTCTAGACCCTGGCCGTAAGCTACGTTCGTATTTCCAGAAACCCTGAACACCTGCTCTAGTCCCCTGGTCCTGTGAGCAGCAGAGAACTCACAGGGCTTTGATTTACCTTCTCCTGGAGCGCTTCTACATTCTGCTTCATCCGTGAAGAGATGATTATTGAGACAGCCTGACGAAAGTGAGCAGACTGCTCCAGACTTTAAAGTCAGTTCACACTGGCCAGAGAAAATGAGTACATTGATCTGTAAATATACTCGGTGTATTTAGAGGCCTCAGTCCCAGGACTGCTTGCCAGCACCAGTTGCCTCTGTTGTCTCCAGGTTGGCTTGATGTTTTCCAGTCCAGAATGGTCTTCTCAGCGTGTCTGCTGCTTCAGACCCAGTGCAGTGTGTGGAAAGGGCTTGGCCCGAGGGCCCGGGCCAGCCCGGAGCTGGAGGAGAAGTCGCGTGCGCCTGAGCTGCACGTCTTACAAGGGAAGCGGCTCCTGAGGAGTCCAGGTCACTGTGACCACGAGGGTCGTGAATGGGTGCTGAGCAGACACTCACCCGGTGTGAGCTGCGTGGTCTGTAGGAAGTGTTGTCGGCTCTCGTGCTCACAGGAGGCTCGGCGGGAGTTCTCATGGAGCAAGGCGGTCTAATACGTGCGCACGCACTTAGACCTTTGTAGGGTATCTTACATACTGAAAATTTAAAGTGGCTTACAAGATTTTTTGTTTTCTGCCAAAGGATTAAAAATGAGTAAGGACACTCAAATTAGGGGAACAGCAGGGTAGGCCCTTTAGATGAGGTGGGGAAAAGAAGTTCTATAAGATCAGAGTCGGTGGGATTGGTGGGTATGACCTGTAAGTTTGACTCTCTGGGTCCTGGGTCCCTAGCATGGAAAAGGCTAGCTAGATCTGGGTGGAGGACGTGCGCGTGCACCTGGCCCTGTAAGAGTGCAGGCCTTGAGGGAATGGCCGTGGACGATAAGATGAAACGGAGGCCAGAGGTGGTGCCTCCCTGCAGTCTCGGGACTCGGGGAGGCAGGGGCAGGGGAACTGCAGATTCGGGCCCAGCCTGGGCAGTTCAGTAATTCAGGCAAGACCCTATGCCAAAAATGCCTCATACTTCTTTTTTAAAAGGAGCTGGAGATATTGCTCAGTGTAGAGGCCCAGGATTCTGACCCCAGACCTAAGTGGTATGCAGCAAACCTGGTTGTGTTCCAGTTCTAGCCTCTTCTGCTGTGGCACTTGCCCTTGGGACCCCTTCTTCCACCTTATAGCATTGTGTTAAGAAACAAAGTGAACAGACAAGAATGAAACCCCGAGGTGCCAGGCTTCTGCCGGGAATCGCTGGCGGGTTGGCTGTGCTGCCTTCAGGGGCAGCACCAGTGACTCGCTGCTGCAGCAGGGCAAAGCGGGCCCCTGGACTGCCCTGGTGGCCTCCTGGCTCTCCTGTTCCCCGGTGACTGCTGTGGAGCGAGGTCAGGGTGGGGCCTCTCCTTCCTGGACAGAGAGGGGCGGGCTCCTGGGTGGGTCATGGCGCAGCCCTCCAGGGGCAGGTTCCTGGGCCGTGGGTGCTGGTGGCTCCTGGCGTGGCCCCTCTCGTTTGGAGGGTGTGCGCTGTCTGTGGGCTTTCATCTCCTTGGGAAGACTAGGTGCGATGGTGGCCGTGCTGCAGATCGTGCCGGGAGGGTCTGCTGTCCCCTCCGTAGTCACCCACACCTGCTGTGTTCACTCGGGTGGTTCCTACAGTGAATAGCGGAGCGTAGAAGGCACTGAGTATTGTGTTCCATCTCATGTTCTTAGTCCTAAATTATTACTCAGGATTAAAAAGACTAAATATTGATGGATAATAATTGTTTATATGTATGTGTATGTATGTATATATATGTATGGAAATATTTTTTAAGTTTTACATTTTCTATTTTTAGATTTTGGTGGTACTAGAGATTGAATCCAGCGAGTGCTGAGGTAGACCACCAGACCTTTTTAACTTGATTTTGAGACTGTGTAGCTTGGTCTCGCAGCTGTCCTTGAGCTTGGCCATCCTGCTGCGGCCTCCCCAGTCACTAGGATTGCCGGTGGGTGCAGCTGCCTGGGCTCTTTGTTTTTTCCTTTTTGGTGACACTGAGTGTCAACCTAGGACCCAGCTCCTTTTTTATTTTATTTTATTTTATTTTAAGATAGGGTTTAATTGCCAGAGCTGACCTTGAACTTGCAGTTCTCTTGCCTCAGCCTGCCCCAGTGCGAGGCTATGCGCCATGACCATGTGCTATTCTGACTCCTTCATATGTGAAAATTTAAAAGGCTAAAATAGAGAAAAGAAGATACATTTCTTATAGTGAGCCATAAAGGGTATAGACATTTTCTTTCCTCCTGTTTTTTAAGGAACTTTAGGATACTATTTCTTCATTGTGAAATAGTGCTTCTTGAACCCAGGTCATTCCTTATGGCCCTGAATTCACCCCTAAGTTACCTACACTGCATGCAGAGCCATGGTGAGCCTCTGGACAGGCACACGGTCTACACAGCCGCCTTTCTGTGAGTTGACTCTACCGTGGTTTCTGGTCTGCTCTCCCAGTATGTGACCTTGGGCATGCTCCTTAACGTCTCTGAGTCAGTTTCCTCCTCTGTAAGATGGGCATAGCTCTCCTAAGAATCCATCCCATCCAGGCCCACATTAGAGGAGGCAGTTCCATCGAGCACGTATTTCTGAGCACCTGCAGTGTGTACTGCGCACCCTTGTGAGGGGTTATTTATTTATTTGAGAGAGAGAGAGAGAGAGAGAGAGAGAGAGAGAGAGAGAGAGAGAGAGAGAGAGAGAGTTAGACATGTCACGTCCGCCAAGAGCTTAAGCACCGAGCAGACCTATGCAGCTAATAGTCTTTCAGGGTGATGTCACAGTTTCGCAAGGCTCAGTAAGGTAAGTTGAGAGAGAGGGCATAGCTAGGAGGCTCCCTGCAGGCTGTGATGGAGGAGCAGCCTGGTCTGTCCGTCTGGACAGCGGAGGGCGCCTGGGGGCCCAGGAGGAAGGCTCCCTGGAGGAATTTCCTTTGAGGTGCCCTGCAGACCCTACACGGCAGGGAGGTGGCCGAGCTCCGGGTTCATGTTGGGAAGTGTGATCTTCATTATTTAGAGTTTGCAGAGAAATGTGGGCTAGGGCCGGGAGTCAGGCTGGGGACTGTGTATGCCTTGGTGACCGCGGTCCTCTCCCGAGCCTCACTCTGTTCCCCTTTCTTCCTGGCAGCAGAGCCCCCTCCCTTGCTGCACTCAGGGACATGCCTGTCAGCACTTCTACCCCCCCTCAGACTTCACTGTCAGCACTCAAGTCTTCAGGGACATGACAAGGAGCCGCTCCTTACAAAAGCTTGGGGAGCCCTGGTGTATGGAGGTAGGTCTGCTGCACACTGACGGTATGAGCTGAGCTAGCGCACAAACGCAGCCGCCCATCCGAGGGCGTCCCATCTGCCCGCCACCATCCTTGCATTCTTACTGGGTCACTGTCATCTCTGGTGCCACGATGTCTGACTGCACTGCCCGCCAACCGGGATATCATAGCTATAAAAACGCCAGTTTACAAGAAGAGGGTGGAGGTGGTGCTACTGCGCCTTCGAGGCGTGTGGCTCTCCATAAAGGCCACATGATTCCGTGTCACATGAGGGCTTCATGAGAGTGATGAGCAGCACGTTATGCCATTGAACTTGACCCCAGGAAGTAATTTCCTGGGACTTTTTATAACTCCCAGTGGAAGGGAAGTTACTGCCTAAACTATGCCTTTATTATTAGTAATTCAGAACTCAAGAGAGTTTTCTTTTAAAACCCAGGGTGCTGGGAAATGCTCACTTCTCTGCAAGGGCTCCTACCGGAGGCAGCCATGAATGGCTTTCCTCGCAGATGTTGCTCTCCAAGGACAGGAAGCACTGTTAATTTCTTTTAAATAATTCAATACTGCATCAATACCCCACACTGCTCCGTGCCTGAGAGTGACAGTTCTCTTCAAATTAGTAGTCCCAAAGAATAAAGAACATCTAGAACATGCTTTTATCTCCAAGAAAGCAAAAGTCAGTGCAGATAAAAAAGTAACTCTTAGATTTAAACAGCAAATGACTTAGTACTAATGTTATTTTTTTTTTAAAGAGAAGTGAATATTCATGAGCCAATTAGTAAAATGTCTGTCTTTTTAAAACATTTATTGTATCCCTGGTAGGTGCTGTGTGCTGTGCTATGTGCTGAGGTTATAGGGGCTGAAAATGTGGTTGCTCCAGTAGGCAGAGATCCATGCACGTATACGTCTTGCCTTTAGAGTAAATCAGCCGGAAGCATGGTGTAGTTTAAGTAGTAGTTAAAAGCCCTTGAGGGCCAGGGAGATAGCTCATTGGAATAAGTGCTTGCCTGGCAAGCGCAAGGTCCTGAGTTCAATCCCTGGGACCACAAAAAAAAAAAAAAAAAAAAAAAGCCATTGAGAGAACTTAGAGACATGTGGCAAAATACATAGAAGAAAATGTAAGCCCTCTACTTCTGTATCTGTGGGGAATCTCCTTAATAAGTGGGTGCCTATCTTTCTAGTCTGTCATGTGTATTAATCCTTAAAAGTGTTGAAATTGGAATTGTGCCTGACCATTGTTTGTGTTTTCTTTTCACTTGATAGAGCACCAAGTTGTTTTTCTGTATTTTAATGTGTGTTCCTTCAGCTAGCAACTCATGTATTTATGTCCTATGGAAACCCTGCAGTCTAACACTCCACAGAAGCCAGACAGGAATAAAAATGCAAGACACTTCTAGGTTTTCCACACCCCTCACTCTGTCCTGTTTCTGACCAGGCCTGAGCTTGGCATACTTACCCCTGATGACCTGGAGCAGGAATGTGTGTGCCCGTGTAACTGGCGTGGACCTCACAGAGTGGAGAGGCCCCTCAGCAGCCTCTCAATGGTCAGCTGGTAATAGGCATGGCTGCTCATGCCAGCCGTTAAGGATAGAAGGCTGCTCACCTACCAGGACCTGGCACATGCTAAGTCATTAATCTCTAGTCAGAGTTAGGAGGGAGATAAAGGAGAACCAGGGACCCATTTTGATAATGAGGAAATAGAAACAGAAAGACTGGGTTTCTTCCTTATAACTCAAGATCAGCAGGAGCTGATTAGTTCCCTGGCGCCAGTGACGGTGAGCATTTCTCAGCCTTGTCTTCAGAACAGACAAACATCTCCCAAGGAAGCCCCGAAATGCCACTCTACGTGGGGCCTAAATATAAATTGTGAACAATCTGGACACAAAGACACCACTTGTGGATGGTACCAACTTGGGCAGGTTAAACTGACCATTGTGTGCCTCAGTTTCCCTGCCGGATGGGCTATATATAAAGTGAGTGTTTTGCAAGAGAACTGGTATTGCAGTGCTGCAGGACCGGCAGATTCTTGGTGACTCGTGCACTGACCATGTGTCCACGTGGCAGGGTAGCTGTTGCAGCAATTCCTTCCCACAAAGTCTTCGTGGAACTTTGTGGTATGTTGCTTGCAGCCCTTGCTGCTTAAAGCATTGCAGTGGGGCATGCGCACCCCCATCAGGCCAGCGTTGGCTGTAGGGAGCAAGGTAGGACTGACTGGCAGATAGGAGAACTAAGTGGGAGCCAACCCTTCTATTACCTGTTGGGCCTGCCTGGCAGGCACAAGGTCCTGAGTGTGATTCCAGGTATTGGAGAAAACAAACAAACAAACATCTATCACCTCTTTTGTCAAGTCGAGGTGCTTGCTCCTCTGTAAAGCAACTCGTGGATCAGGGTATAATGGGATACAAGCCACGCGTACCAGGAATCTAGGGCACACTCTTGACATTTTACGCCAAGTTTCTATGATCCAGATGCTAATGGAGATTTGCGCCCCTAGAGTAACTCTTCAAAACTGAACAACAACCCTAAGAAGGGGCCACTGTGAGTTATTTCTGTTTTGCAAACAAGGTAACTGAGCCACAGAGAGATTGAGTAGCTGGTGTAAGGCCCCCCCAGCAAGAACGAGTATCATCCGTGGTCGCTGTCACTGTGCCCAGCTTCTGCTTGCTGAAGGAGCGTGCACTTGGTCCCTTTAGACCTTTGGCCCTAGTTGCTGGGAAGGATCTCTTGATTCAGGGCATGTAAATTTTCAGTTTGCAAATCTCACACTTAGGATACCTTCCACCCCATCCATTTCAGCATTCATTGTTCCTCTTCTTTCTGTGCAGTGCAGCTTGGTTCTAACCCTGTAAGTCTCTTCTCTAGGAATTCAGATTGGTAGCCTCATTGAGTAAATATGACTAAGAAAGTCAATACCCACCTGGGCAAGCATGACTCACTTTCTGGTTAGCTATTCATGTACATTTTCAAGCTAGCCACACAAAGTCACTACACTGGGGCTATTAACATGGCCAATAGTGACAATAACAGGGTGTGACCGAGGCACAACCACATTCAGATAAGAAAGAAAATGTTTTTTTCCTGTAATTGCTTGGTCAATACCATTTCCACTGAAATACTTGCAAACAGATTTTTAAAAAGTTCTTTGTCTGTGCCCTTCCCTTATTCCCTGCTTCCTTCCTCCTCAGGGTTTCTGTAAACTTCTCCTGATCAGCGGCTTTAGCAAGGTGGTACTCCCCGTCTCTTCTCGAGTTTTGGCTGACCTGCCTTTTTGCTGCTGTTGCGCCTGTTTTCATTTAATTTTTAGGTGTCTGTGTCTGTGTTTTCAAAAGGGGGCACATTAGTGCTGCTGCTTGCTCATTAACCTCTCAACCTATAAATTTAAGGGAAAAAAGAGACTTCTGCTAAATTTGCAAAGCTAGTCACATAGACAGGGAGTTAACCAGTTGGGTAAGAGGAAATGAAACTTTTCTTAGGTTTATTAGACCACATCCTATAAATCTGTGGCTTATTATATGTCTGATTTCTAAAAAGCATGGCCCCATGGCCAAAGTCTTATTTTTGCTTCTTAGTCATTTGAAACAAATATAGATATTACTTCATTTCCTGGGTACTTTATTTTTCAGCACATGTTATGTATGGAAAGTTTGGATTTGCACAGCATGGTGCATTACAAGGGAAGTTTTTGCTAATGTATAGACTGTTACGTTGTAATGCTGAGCTAGCTGGCATTCTGCGAAGCTGGAGCTTTCTTTTTGTCCCTCATCCCTGATTAGAAGCAAAAAACGTCCCTCCCGCCCAAAGGCAAAGTTAATGTTCTGACATATTTCCTTCTAATTGAAAAAAAGTGCTTTAAAAATTATGGGTGGACTCGTAATGTTTGTGTGTTTTTTGTTTATTTTATATCTCTTCATAATAGAAATTCTTCCATGTATGCTATATATATTTAAAATGTATTACTGTATTAATTAATGTATTGTATATATATTATTGGTTATCCATTCTAGAAGTGACTGTCCTTTGGTAGATTGCCTGGTACACCAAGCACAGATGACTCTGAGTTCCACTATTAAAGCAGTTGACAGAGGCCGTAAGTTGAAAGAGGTGAAAGCAAGACTATTCTAGAACATTCTGTAAGGCTCTCATGATACATATGACCAACCTATGGACTCCTTGTATAGTCCTAATCTTTCTGTCCAAAAATGGACCTTCTTCCATTTGTATTTATTAGGCGGGGTAGCCGGGGGGACCCCTGTAATAGTTTATTTGCTCCCTTCTCTTTTGCTTTTTGCAAAGCTTCTACCTGAAAGTCTTCCAGGTTTAATAAGTACATGAATGTCCTCCGCTGATGAGCTGTGCTGGCAGTGGAAGCAGGCAGTGGACCTGGAGATCATTCTGTGCCCCATTTCCCATGCTGTTTCTGGTGTCTTGGACTGAAAACAGACGTCCCTGTGAATGGTGTTCACGTGCTCACTACACATCAGTTGGTGAGCTGGTGTGCTGGAGGGGCTCTTCTAAGGAGCGTGTCTGTGCAAGATGGGGTGCAGGCCTCATAGGACCCCGGCACCTGCTGGCTCCATGGGCTGTGTCAGTGGCCCTTATTTCAGTGGCGCCTTCCTGTCCCCCATGCTTCGTGAGTCACACATTTTCTTTGCATTCCCGCAACAAAGGTCACTAGTAGAGAAGACTTGGGCCTTTGGATGTTGTGCTCCTCATACTTTGTTATTTTGGATCCTCCCCTTTTGTAACTCTTTGAGGCGAAAGTACAGGAGTTTTTAATGGGCCAGACTGCATCAAGGGAGGATATTCATTAGTCTTAAGACATTCTTATTTCTTACAGCACCCCAAAGTAAAAGCGCCAGGTCAGTTCTTAGTTAGCATGGCGTGTGGGGGTGCTTCCCACTGGTGGGCTGCTGGCGCCTGTGCAGGCAAGTGGTCCATCTGAGTCAGGGGCAATAGCACTGTCTCTTGGGACCCTTTCCTGTCCTCAGTCCCTGCGATGTCAGTGA